TCGGCTGTTTTGGGGACAAGGTCAGAGAGGCCAGATTGAGATGGTTTGGACATGTGCAGAGGAGGGATAGTGGTTATATTGGTAGAAGGATGTTGGAGATGGAGCTGCCAGGCAAGAGGTCAAGAGGAAGGCCAAAGAGGAGATATATGGATGTGCTAAAAGAGGACATGAAGTTAATTGGGGTGAGAGTAGAGGATGCCAAGGATAGAGTTAGGTGGAAACAGATGATTCGCTGTGGCAACCCCTAACGGGAACAGCCGAAGGAAGAAGAAGAAGAAGAGGACGGAGAATATTTCTGTGCACTGTTGGGATGGTAGTTACAGCCAGAGTGGATTAATATAAAAATAACAGCTGTGAATCGGGAGGTAGAGTGGATCATTCTTTAACCAGCGGGTTGGTAGTTTGATCCCTGGCTTCTTTGGTCCACATGTGGAATTGTCCTTGAGCAAGACACTGAATCCCTGTTTGTTGCCAGTGATGACACTGATGTGAATATGTGTGCAAATGAGTGAATGGGAAATACTGTAAAGCACTTTGAGTGCACATCAATGTATAAAAAAGCACTATATAAAGCTGTTACCATTTTCTTATTTTATAGCTAAAGAATTTGCTAACCCAGCTAACAACGATGCTAATGTACTCAATTAAGTTGTGTCAGCCTGGGAAGCTGTACTATGGTAAAGCTGTAACTATATTCACAGATTATAAGTTCCCAGAGCCATAAGTAATAGCAAAATGTTTTTCTCAAACCGTAGTAAAGCAGAAAACAAGCTACAACCTAATTTTCATCAGAACAAGCCATCCTCTGAGTTTTAGCCACATATACTCCACACACTCATCAAATAAGTACCGGTGGTGTCTGTGCAGCCGGCTGTGAGACAAGTGTGCAGGGACCGTCTACAAAGTGCAACACTGAACAGAGAACGCCTACTGGAAAAATATTAAATAACTTCACACTTGTATATAAAGGGGCATATCCATCTGTAACAGACTGTTGTGTAAGATGCACTTGTGTATCCTCAGTTATAGCCCCACCAGGCAGCCTCCTCATTTCTTGGTCCTTGCTCTTCAGAGCGAAAATAAGCGCTTTGGGACGTCCTTCATCATGATGGACTCAAACGACTTCCAGGTCAAATTAGGATCAAGTGCTGTGGAAAGATCAAATACAGAAATTGGGATTCACCTTATATGTGTGTGTTACCTGCTGCTGCTCGGCCATGGAGTGGATGGAGCTGAAGGAGGGGTGTGTATGTGTGTGCTGGCTGGGCATGGCTGGCTCAGCGAGGGAGAAGCCCTGGGCAGTGGAGGAGGAGGAGGAGGAGGAGGAGGAGCAGGAGCAGGAGGAGGAGGAGGTGGGCGGACATCCTGAGCTGCTTACACCTGAGGAGAGAGACAGAGGGAGAGAAAACTCCATCATTCTAGTCTATTTATTTGGCACAAAGCTACTGCTGTTCATTTCCATCACACCACAGTCATTATTACATTCCATACTGCCCATCCATACTGTAATAAAAGGATTGTTTGTGTTTATTATTATTATTAATATTATTTCAAAGATTCTTTCAAAACACTTAAGGTTGCTTTAAGAACAACAATGTCTGTGCATATTCTCAGTCATCCAGGTCATAGTAAACTGAAAAAACTTAGAAAAAATCAACTGGACTAAATTTGTAGGTCAAAGACATTTCACCTCTCATCCAAGATGCTTCATCAGTTCTGACTGACTGGTATTGAGCCAGAGATATTTATCCCCCTCGGTGCTGTTTTAGTCCTTCGATGGCCAACAACGTCCCTTAACGACTGTGTCGTTATAGCCCAGTATCGGTGAGAGTCGTTAGCTGTCTTTGAATCCTCCCCTGCGGAGTTGGCTGAGCTTAAGGAAATTGATGATGAGAGCCTCCAACACAGCAGAACTCTGAATGTTGTGTTGTCGCTCTTGTTTTCATACACGCCATCATTTTGTTTTCTCTTTGTCAGTCAGATGATGATGATGATGCTCTGCTATGTTTTAACATAATATAGCTTAAAAAAAAACAATATACTGTATCTGTGAGCCATTTTTAAAATATATTCTTTCTTTTTTTCACACTGAATGCCTCAGAGTTGGGAAGTTTGAAAGTACAGTTAAGATTACATTGTTAGATTTTGGTCTTTTTCATTTTATTCATTCCACCTCAAATTGTATTTATATTCACCATATGTTTTCAGCTATAATAGTGATTGTTGGAGCAGTTCAATATTTTTCACAGCTGTTGAAGAAATGTGTTGATTTCAGTTTAGTTGTAAGTTGGAGCCTTGCATACAGCTGCAGTAGGTGACCAGCAAACTGTGACATACCATTTCTTAGTTGTGTTTACAGTTTTGGTTGTTGATCAGTGTTAATGATTCAGTTGTTACTTGGCCAGCCACAGCGGTTTGTGGATTCCAGCCTGTTTAGATTTGTTGTCTGACCCTGTGAATACTGAACTCTGACTTAATCAACTCTATTTTCAAGGCACTGGTTGAAGAACCCCAGTTTGGTTGATAATACTGTACCTCTACTTAACTTACTTTAAAAGTCAAAATAGTGACAAAGCCTGCCATAAGTTTCCAGTACTGCAGTGTCTTCAGGCTTTTCTTTTTGTTTGTTTTCCTATTAACAGTAGTATAGATCACATTTAAGAATGTCCCTTAACGACTGAGTGACTTAGGATTGATGGTTGTTAGTGGATTTGGGCATCTGTTGGCCATCAAAGGACTGAAACACCACCGAGGGGGATAAATATCTCCAGCTCAACACCAGTCAGTCAGAACTGATGAAACCTCTTGGATGAGAGGTGAAACGTCTTCGACCTAGAAATCTAGTCCAGTTGATTTTTTCTAAATTTTTTTCAGTTAAGAACAACGAAATATTATCAAAACGACTAAGCATGAAATCAAAATTACACTGAATAATAGAAACTTGTCTAGTTGAGTTAAAAGTTTCAGTTGAGCTCACTGGGCCACATTCACCAACATCTTCCTAAGTGGTTTCTTACATTTCTTTCTAAGTTGTTCTTTAAGATTCAAGATTTTTATTTGGCATTTATGCTGAAAGATATTACCCAGTTCTTTCAACCAGGAACTCTGAGAGACGACGCAGACCACTTGGATATATAAAAAATATAACCGTGCTGGTTTATTCAAAGGATCACAGGCAAAATTAACATCACACGTCCAGGCATCTTCCACCTCCAGTACTGCGCGCAGGCAGCCCGGAAGATGAAAAAAGCCCCGAACCTAATAGCCTATACAATTTAATCACTTGGTTGGGCTAGCCCCATCCTACACAGGCACCGTCAAACCGTGACGTCACCTGATATGCCAGCTTGGCAGCTGACCAGAGCAGTAGTCAAAACATGGAGAAAATTAAAGTGTGTGGCTGTTGATTAGTGGTGTGTATCTAAAAACATACAGGACACTCAGGGACATGTCCGAACAGTAAGCCTCGGAAGATATTATGATTAAGATTACGGCTGAACATATCATGCTACTAACAATATTCATCCTGCCTGCAGACTCTTCAATCTAGTGACCTTGGCCTAGATGCAGCCTGCAGAACTCATGACAATGAACTGAGCATTTAACAGCCTGAGAAAGACATCCTGGCTACACTAACATTTTCTAATACAACAGATCTCTAATCACTATCTATCTAACTAAGAAATTACCTAACAATGCATAAACAGACAGTCTAGGCATATAAGAATTCTTGTGCAGGGCTCTCCTGGACTCAAATAAAGAGTTTAAAGTCAAAAGAACAAACACCTAGACTAAATATAAGATTGCCCAAGAATACAGAAGAATACCAAATGCAAAAAATAAGAATACCCAAGAAAACAAAATAGTTTGTTAAAATTGTGGATACAGGAATAAGATAGCAGGTAAAATGGGGAGTTTCAAATATTGCACATGGTGTAATTGTATATGGTGTTCTACTTAGTAGGGTAATAAGGGGTTATTGCACAGGTTTTCCACATTTTGTATTAGCCATCAGTCTTACTGCGGCAGGGAAGAAGCTGTTGTAAAATTGTGTTCTGTGTGTGACAATACTTTCTGCCCTGCTGTGCCTGAGGCTGTAGGTGCAGTTTTTGTGTCTGAGCAGAGTGTGAGCTGGGTGGCGTGGATGCCTGATTATGTTCTCTGCCCTTTTACGACAGCGCTGTGTGTATAGTAGTGATGGGTAGATGAGGCGTCATGAAGCGTTTCGACACATTGCCAAACTGTATTGATACTGTGTCGATACTGTGTCACTGAATACTGACACCTGCTGGACCTTAAAAATCCCTACAGGCAACCTAGTTGACAGACTCAACTGACACTGATTTGATGACCTAGTATATACAATAATATAATTTAAGTCATTGTATTTTATATTGTATTATTTCATATCTTCATTTAAATTTAAAATTTCCTTGATATTTTTAGATA